ATGACACGACAAACATAATTTATAATTTATAATTTGACATTATTATCAGTAAGAAACTTATCTATATAAAACATAGCCTTCTTATTATTGTTCAAAGAAACTATTTGTATATTATCTCCAGAATTCATATTCAACTCTAGTAATTCCTGAATTAATGTATTTCTACCTTTATGACAATCTGGACAATCCCAAATAATATGATCAATATCCTTCCATAGGTCACCACATTCACATGCTGAACTCATAATAATGTTTTTCCTAAATAAATGACTNCATTTAACTCTAGTAATTCCTGAATTAATGTATTTCTACCTTTATGACAATCTGGACAATCCCAAATAATATGATCAATATCCTTCCATAGGTCACCACATTCACATGCTGAACTCATAATAATGTTTTTCCTAAATAAATGACTATTAAGTAGAGAGTGATTGCTTTTAATTCTATTCCACCTACTAATCGTACCTCTTGCTAATTTTATTCCAGAAAACCACTGTTTATTATAATGAAATTCTTTGACATTTTCAAAGCAGATAATTGCCTCATCCTCCGCCCTCGAATGCGCCCACAAAAATTTATTAGAATCAGAAATCATTTTTTCCCTATTGTCATGGATGAATTCTCGCCAAAAAACTTTGCCATTTTCATAAAGATCTTCTTCTCGAGCCAATTTAGCTAACCGATCAGCCTCCTCATTAATCTGGATGCCTTTATGTCCTGGTATATACATTAATTCTATCTTTGTTTTCTTTTTCTAAATCTAAAATTTTATTTTTTATTTCAACAACCTCCCGATATGCTTTCGGATCCAAACAATTGCCTCTCAGTTGAAGTATCAAACTAAGAGAGTCAGAACAAATTAAATTCAAATTGTAGGACTCAATTTCGATTATATCTATAGCCTTTTTAACTGCTACTACCTTTGCGAAAAAACTTGAGCAATAATTCAGTAGTTTTATCTTTGCTTTAATGATACCCTCCCCATCAACAACCACCGCTCCCACCGAACCCTGATCTTTGGAACCATCTGTAGCCCATATTTTATACTGTTTATAGTCTCTATTAATTATTTCATTGAATTTTTCACTAATATTTCCTTCATCTTTTTTCAATTCGAGTCCTGTGACAATATCTGTTTCAATTTTTTCCCAAACAGAGTGCAATGGGAATTCAAAACTATGATGAAGATCATGATTATCCACTTTAGAGATGTTTTCTTCAATTTCTTTCTAAAATGAATACAATTTATGGTAAAATGATTTTTTCCCGGGAATTTTACTCTTCAATTCATCCATGTACTTGAGCTTACTAATAATCATATTTCTTCTATCACTAGCTGACTTAAATAATAACTTTTTCGTTAAGAACTCTCTTCTAAATTCCAAAGGAGGTTCAGCTGCAAGATGCTGGAGAATGTTAGTGGGAGTCGTAATAATACAGCCCAAAGCAGATCTCAAAGCAGCAAATTGGATTCTATCTATTCGTAATAAATTTTTACCGCTAGTATCTCCATAAAACATAGCTCCCCAATCAAGTCTAGCCCTAACTAATCCTTTATATACAGTTAACATAGTTGAAGGATGAGCTCCCCATTTCAGACTCCCTATAGATTTCATAACACTAACCATTTTCAAAGCTGCTTGTCTAGTGTACTCAATGTGTCTATTCCAATTAAGTCTATTATCGATATAAATTTCTATTTCTATTAATTTATCCGCCAAAACCTGTATATTAATATTGTCGTAAGCCGATTCAATATCCAAAAAACTTGACATCAATACTTTTTGTTTAATAAAACTAATATTAACATCTGTAATGAAGGAAGATAAACTATCATTGCAAGATTTTAATCTACGAAAACCGAAAAATTGTTTAGGAAAGAAATGTTTATTTTCAAGGAACCACTGAATTCGATTATTAATTATCCGTTCAAAAATTTTTTGAATACAAGAAGAAAGAGCTATAGGCCTATAACCTCGATTTTTTGGTTTAGAAATCAGGAAAACTAATTGTTTTTTCCAATCTCCAGGAACTTTATTCTTTTTAAAAATGAAGTTAAATATTTTTGTCAAAAGATCAATTGATTTATCTGGTAGCTGTTTAATTATTCTGTAAGAAATCAGATCTTCTCCAGGGGCTGAATTAAGTTTTGCACTGCCAATCGTAGCCTTTATTTCTTGCACACTCATGTCCTTATCTAATAAATTGTTAATCACTAGAGATTCTTTAATGTTTATAGGAACTGAAGGGACATCTGGGGCAACTTTGTTGATTGATTCAATAATTTTTGGATCTTCAGGAGAATTATTTAGTCTATGAGAATGATTTAATTTTCTATTCTTAAAGGCCTTTATATAACCCCATATTTTATCCATCGCCATTTCCGGATTCAACGTGTCACAAAAAGCAACAAAAGATTTTCTCTTAACTCGGAAAATTCCCTTACGAGCTTTATTACATGCTTTTACATATTTATCATTATTTTCCTCTGTAAAATCATTGAGTAAAACTTTTAACTTAGATTTCCGATCTTTCACTAGTTCTGAACAGACTTTATTCCACCAAATTGCTATCGGATACTTTCTAGGAATTAAAGAATGGTCTGATTTTTTACCACATGAATCTAATAGACAATCGATAATAATCTCAGTTAATTCGTCATATGTATTAAGGAAGTTTTCTTCATTAACATTCATTAAATCTTCATTTAATTGAGATTCCAATTTGTTTTTAAATAGTTTCCAGTCTACATTAACTGTTGAAATTTTAACTCTATCCGTTTGCTTTTGAAATTTACCAAGACTGAAAAGAATACTAATAGGAAAGTGGTCACTGCCGAAGGAATCTCCCCCAGCAGACCACTGAGCAATCACCTTTAGTTCAGCAGAGCATAAGGAGATATCCGGAACACTAATCTTCCCCTCGGAATTAATTCTCGTTCTCTCTCCAGTGTTTAAAATTACTAATTCATTTTTAAGTGCTGATTCTAAAAACCAAGAACCCTCCGAATCATTGAGTTCACTACCCCATTCATCAGAGTGTACATTGAAATCTCCACAAATTATCACATTGTTTAAGGTTCTTTGAACAAAATTAAATAAATTCTTCCAATCTTGGACTTGAATATAAAAAGATGGCGATCGACAAAAATTATGGATTTCTATTTTTTTTTATTCCATTCTATTTCAATCCCTACCCATTCAATTCCTTTGGGAAAATTCAATTTAAGTTTTTTGTAACTCAAAAAAGATCTAATATAAATAATTGAGCCCCCTCCATGAACTTCTTTAGGTTGATTAAGATTAACATAATAAAAGCCTTTAAGATCAATTTCTTTTCCATCTTTAAAAAAGGATTCATTCAAACATATAATATCAAAATTTTCGGCTACAAACGTANAAAGATGGCGATCGATAAAAATTATGGATTTCTATTTTTTTTTATTCCATTCTATTTCAATCCCTACCCATTCAATTCCTTTGGGAAAATTCAATTTAAGTTTTTTGTAACTCAAAAAAGATCTAATATAAATAATTGAGCCCCCTCCATGAACTTCTTTAGGTTGATTGAGATTAACATAATAAAAGCCTTTAAGATCAATTTCTTTTCCATCTTTAAAAAAGGATTCATTCAAACATATAATATCAAAATTTTCGGCTACAAACGTAAACTCATTCCATTTATTTAATAAACTCCGGCAATTCTACTGTAAAATACGTAAATCCATTATTTACATAAACTCTTGTATCGGTCCTCCGCCAACTTAATTCCCTCTACCACTTTCTTTTCATTACCCAGAGTTTCCCTCAAAATCTGAATAAACTTGTTGATTTCGATCATGAAGGACTGCTTAAGATCCAGCAAAACATGACCTTGAGGTATTTCATGTCTTGTTGTGGCCACCGTAGTGCCAGTAGAGGAAGAATTGTCCGAGCTATCTCCCTCCCCCCCATTGTTCAGATTATTGAAAACATGAATATTCTCTTCAAAATCATTTCCTTCCGTTAAACGTCTCTCACTATGACGAGTAACCAAATCCTTAGCCTCTTTATAGGAAATTTGAAATGACGTACAGGCTATCATACCCTAGGTGGTATAATAGTCGAATTAAAAATCACGAATAATCGATAAAAAACAAACACAAAAAAAAGGGATTAAATCATTCGAACACAGAATTGGATGGGAAAAAGCCGTTACGGCATAAAAAACCCAGATTTATTGATTAGGATATAATGGATCGATTACAACTGCGAATGACACTTGTTTTACATACACATACACACACGCTACCACACTGCAAAGTCTGTCCTAAGAACACTACGATGTGAAGTGTCGGACGCAGCTATGGACATGTACACACACACACGCGTCGATAATGCGAAAGATAGGTTATGGAATCACACGTTGTGTGATTCCGAGACGATATTCGTAATTAAATTACGAAGATATGAGGTGGCCGTTGCACCACCTCCGATACGTTTTTAGATGAAGTGGCCGTTCGCCACTTCAAAAAAAGATGTAGAGGAAGCGGCACGTTGCACCATTTCCAATACGATTGGCGTTGCCGTTCACTACACCGTTAATCTGAATTGATTTTTACAGATTTTGCGAAGTAACTGTTTTAGATGTCAGATTGACACTTTGAATTAATAATAACACTGATTTCACACGAAAGATCGATTGACAAACTTAAGTGCTCGAATAGCGTCGGTTTTGACCGTTACACGTGGTGTAATAGATTAGGTTGGGTTAGCGTCAGTTGGGCGCTTCCCCGCGAGAAACTAGCGAGTCGAAAGGGGGAAAATTCGCAGCGGTGGCGTGGCGAACTAGATAAAAACTAGCATTCAGCGCGCGCGTAGATTTGAACGGGTTACGATGTAACGTACTCCCGGCAAAAGCTGCGAAATAAACCACCAGTGGGTTGTTGTGCAGTAGAGGAACGTATGTACGATAGATTGATAAACGATATAACTGATAATTCTAGCTATGACTCATAGCTAGGTGACGGGTAACAGACAGAGGCGGGTGATGTTGCGTTTATAGGTACCGCTGGCGGTCCTAACTGATGCAACTCGAGCGATGCCGTCACTCCCAGGAAACACTTCGATGATCACGCCCAGCGGCCATCGTGCACAAGCGACAGCGTCGTCCATGAGGAGAACCACTGAACCGAGTTTCAGTTCAGCAGTAGACGTAAGCCATTTTTGGCGAGTTTGGAGTTCATGTAGATATTCCTTGTGCCATTTATTCCAAAAGTCCTGTTTGGCCTTGGTGATGAAGTTATAAGTGGACAGGCGATTATCTGAAACTGACGAGAACGATTTTTCGGGTAAGGCATTGAATGGTCGGCCTATCAACAGGTGGGCTGGAGTGATAGCCAAGGGATCATTGGGATCAGCCGAAAGAGTACACAACGGTCGAGAGTTTAAGATCGCTTCAATTTCGATCAGCAAAGTATTGAGTTGCTCATAAGTGAGTCTTTGGTCCTTTAAAACGCGTTTCAAATGATGTTTGAAACTCTTTACAGCTGCTTCCCAAATCCCTCCAAAGTGGGGAGACAATGGTGGATTAAAATGCCATGTGATGCGTTTAGATAGAGCGTAATTGCCCACGCTTTCCGCGAATTCGGGGCTAGAAAGAAGATTGTACAATTCGCTGAGCTCTTTACTAGCTCCAACGAAATTTGTACCGTTGTCGGAGTAAACCTGTTCAGGAACACCTCTGCGGCCGGTGAACCTGCGAAAGGCTGCCAAAAATCCTTGTGAGGAAAGATCAGTCGCTAATTCAATGTGAACAGCCTGAGAGACCATACACACAAATACACATCCGTAAGACTTGAGAAACGATCTGTTACGATCTTTCTTCTCTTTGATGAGGATTGAACCAAAAAAATCAATACCTGTCTGCGAGAAAGCGGGTGCTTCGTTCACTCTAGATCTAGGCAAATCTGCCATCTGAGCATGAACTAACGTTGGTTTCTGACGAATGCATTCGATACAACGACGAACAATCCTTCTGATCTGATCCTTACCGTTCAGAATCCAGAATTTGGATCGAATCGCGTAGAGAGTACTTTGAATCCCTGTATGGAGATTCGAATGATGAGCCCGACGGATGATCATGTCGGTAACCGGATGTTTACTAGGCAACAAGATTGGGTGTTTCTGATTGTACCATAGTTCGAACTTCTTGAGCCGACCGCCCACACGAAGCAGTCCCTTGTCGTCTACGAAGGGATGCAATTGATCAAACGAGGTTCCCTTTGCTGATGAACGAGTTGAGTTCGTCGAAGATTGATTGATTGTGAGCCTTCGTACTTCAACAGAGAAACGCTTGTGCTGAACCATCCTGACGATTCGATGCTCAGCCTCGTCAAGTTCTTTGACAGTGAGTGGACGATTCCGAGGGGTTTGTGGATACTTCCATCGCCGGATGTACGTAATGACTCTTACAAATCGTTCGAAATCAGAGAACTGAGAATACAGAGAGTCACATGAAGTGGTAGTGATCAGGCAGAGATTCCTTTTCAGTCCTTGCACTAGAACTGCGGAGGGTACGATGGATTGCGGCCATCCAGGTTCTTCGAGAATTAGCCATCTAGGACCTGAAGACCAGAGAGAGTTATTGACAAATTCAGACGGAAGTTGTCCTCGAGATAACGCGTCAGCTGGATTGTCTTCGGACCGGACATGTCTCCAACTAACTTGATCACCTAAAGTTTGAATATCTGCCACTCTGTTTGATTCGAAAGTTCTNGAGTTATTGACAAATTCAGACGGAAGTTGTCCTCGAGATAACGCGTCAGCTGGATTGTCTTCGGACCGGACATGTCTCCAACTAACTTGATCACCTAAAGTTTGAATATCTGCCGCTCTGTTTGATTCGAAAGTTCTCAGAAGACGAGGAGCTTTCTTAAGCCAACAAAGAACGATGGTGAAATCAGACCTAAGTATGCCTGATCGATGGGGAAGTCGAACAGAGCCGTAGTTTCCACATATAATTTTTTGAGGATGGTCGCTGCGCAGAGTTCCAACCTAGGGATTGTAACTCCGCCCAACGGTGCTACCCGATATTTACTACATATCAGTCTGATCAAAACCTCACCCTGAGGATTACTGGATTTGAGATACAGACAAGCTCCATATCCGTGACTGGAGGCGTCACAAAATCCATGGATTTCGATGCGAGAGGGATTTTCGATTAAAATCTGTCGAGGAACCGAGACTTCACGAATTTTTGGTAATTGGAGTGCTAGCGACGTCCATTTTTTGTGGATATCTTGAGGAAGAGACTCATCCCATGTAATCTTTGCCTTCCAGCAGTCTTGAATTAAGACTTTGGCGAATAAAGTCACGGGTCCTAAGAGTCCTAGAGGATCGAAGATCTTTGATACTTCTGAGAGGAGTTTACGTTTGGTTGCAACAACGTTAGGATCAACCTGAGTCAAAGTGTACTGCAACAGATCACCTTGGGCATCCCATATGATACCCAAAGTCTTCTGGACTGGATCATCTTTGATCAAGCAATCCAAATCAAAGAACCTTTTATCAATCTTATCCAAAGCTGAACGATGATTGGATGACCATTGGCGGATGACGAAACCGCCGCGAGAGAGCAATGCGATCATATCATCTCTAATGGTTATAAGTTCGTCTAGAGAATCTGCTCCGGAGATGAAATCGTCAACATAAAAATCACGAAGTAGAAGTTTACTGGCACGTGGGAAGTTCTGTGCCTCATCACGCGCAAGTTGTATGGTACGAATCGCTAAGAACGGAGCAGCGGCTCTACCAAACGTCACGGTGTTGAGTTGAAAAGTTCTGAGTTTGCCTTGGTAAGGCCACAGAACCCTTTGAAATTGTCTGTCGTCAGAATGAATTAGAATCTGGCGGTACATTTTCTCAATGTCCGCTGTGATGACGTACCGATGAGTGCGAAAACGAAGGACTTGTTCGAAGATAGTATTCTGGATTGTGGGGCCGACCAGAAGAATATCATTAAACGAGATGCCAGTAGACGTTTTAGCCGAGGCATCGAACACTACACGAACCTTGGTAGTTTCACTGGACTCCTTGATAACGGCGTGATGAGGAAGGTAATAGCCATCTTCAATCTCATCGCAAAGAGTCATATGACCAAGGGAGATGTACTCCTCCATCACTCTGGTGTATTCAGATTTCAATGAAGGATTTGATGAAAGTTTTCGATCCAAGGAAGAAAAACGTTTGAGCGCTTGCGAACGAGATTCGCCAAGATTGAATTTTAAATCTCTGAATGGAAGACGAACTATGTACCTACCAGTAACATCTCGTTTGGTATGTGTAACATAGTGTTGTCCACAAGAAATTTCGTCACGAGATCAAACGGGTTCGTGATCGAAGTCTTCGATAATCCAGAAACGTTCGATGAGCTTATCTAATTTAACGACGTTGCAAGGAGAGGTTGTTGAGGCCGATAACAGTTCAGAGCCTCCAGCGATGATCCATCCTAACCGAGTCTTCTGTAAGACAATGGTAGAATCTCCATGCGACAATTTGATTTGTCCAATGGACAAAACTGACAACATGGTGTTGGAGGCTAGCAAAAGATCGATTGATCTTGGCAGATGAAACTGAGGATCCGCGAGTTGAAGATTCTTCGGGATGTCGAACTGATGTCGAGGGAAAACGTCACTAGGTACGACATCAGCTATCTTGGGAACAATCAAAAAGTTTGATTGTTGTTCAAAGTTATTGTAACTTGAATGAAGAGTCACCTGAACATATTGGTTCGAAACAGTGCACAGACCGTCCACTGCTCCAATGTTCACCGAACAATGAGTTTTACGCAATTGCAGGGCATTCGCGAATCGCTCTGTGATTAAATTCACTGTAGAACAAGAATCTAACAGTGCGCGTGCCGCGACGCAATTGCCTCGCTTGTGTTCAGTCTTGACAACCGCCGTTGTCATCAACTGTGAATCCGAGGGGAAGGCGACGGATGTGTATGTCTGATGATCTAGTCATTGCTGATTGCTGGCAGATGCCATGACATCCTTCTCCTCATGCAGGAGTGTGTGGTGTTCGCCTTTGCACCTTTTGCAGACCTGACCGCTCCTGCAAGGGTATGGATGGGCCCACAGACAATTTTTGCATGCTTTGATGCTTTTAATAAACTTCCAACGATCCTGGACACTGAGATCGTTGAAGGTTGGGCACATGTACAATCGATGAGCTTTACTGCATTTGGGGCAGCTCATCGACGGGGATTTATAAGAGGATGAATCCGATTTGGAAGACGTGACGAACGTCTAGGGAGTCTTCCTTGAGAATTTGTTGGCCGATTGAGGGAGACTTTCTCCTGGCCTTTTCTTTGGGTTGGGGTTGCGATTGGACATCGATGCGGAGTCGAGAGCTTGTTGCTTGAAGATAGCAGTCTGGATGAATTTGAACAGATCGTCTAATTTTGGCAATTCATCCATGTTAAGCTTGTCTTGCTATCGACTTCTCAGTGTCTGGGGAAGACAACGTTCGATGATGCGAACGAGTAAGTTTTCCCCAGGTGGAGCACCGATTCCCTCCAGGATGTGAAGGTGCTGACGAGCCTTATCCAGAAGTGAGAATAGGTCATCAGCTGATACCTGGGTGAGCTGTGGGAGGTCGATAAGAGCATTCAAGTGTTCTACGGCCACAATGCGCTTGTGGTCGTAGAATTCCAGGAGAGATTTCCAAGCTTTCGAATAATCTTGGTCACTGGGATCATATTGGCTGATTTTAGCCAAAGCTGGCCCAGTGAGAGAGTCAAAAAGTTGACTGCATTTCACTGCGTCAGAAATGTCGGTCCGGGAATGAACGAGAGCGATGAACTTATTTTTGTACATCGCCCAATTTTCTTGTTTTCCGTCGAACACGGGGATCTTTATTTTAGGGAGCTTTGGCAGTTCTTGCCGCTCCGTGAGAGTGATGTTATTCGGATTCAAGGTCGAGTTGAATACCGAATCCCTTTGTTGGAGTTTGGAAATGGCGCCGGCTGCCTGGTAGTATCTAGATTCGGTCTCTAGAAAACTCCCTGCCAGGCGATTGCTGCTTTGAAGTGAGTTTAATTCCTCATAGTACTTCATCGAAGTATCGAACAATGTCGACATTTTCTCCGCACGTATCTTTGCGTTTGCGGGATCGACATGTGTACTCTCGAGGTATTGCTCCAGCCTCCCCAACTGGAGATCGAAGAAATTCAATTTCTGTTCGAGGTACGCGACGCGTCTTTTCTCCTCTGAAGAGAGACTCATTTTTATGGAAAAAATGAGACTCAGAAGATATCGACAAATTACGATACGATGGGGTAACGGCTCGATGAACTAGTTTGCCGATCAAATGAAAGAACCGATTAAATCCACGTAGATCACGTTGGATTTAGATAAACTTCGATAAATCAGCGAAAATCTCGTAAACTAGGGCCGTAAACGAGAAAAGGGAAACGATCTATCAAATTGGTTAAACAACCGATGAATAACTATAATGAAAATCAAACGAGAGAGAAAACAAAAAATAATAACTATATAAGAATAGTCAAATGACTGGATTCAATGTAACAAAAAAGAAAAAGAAAATTCAAGAAGATGAATATCTAAAAATAATTGAATGAAGTTAATTAAATGTGCAAAGAAATAGAGATAGATAAATGTATGAACTTATCTTTGCACGTCTCACGATGTTGAACCAGCTGAGCGGTGAAGGTTCCTGGAACGGGAGTGACGATGACGATGAAACGATAAGACGTCGGACTTGAAGACTCGTCGACGAAGTTTTGGATAGTTTTTAATTTTTTAAACTGTTTTTAGTAACGTTTTTGTTCACTTTGAACACTCTTTCACACGTGTCACTCGCAGTTTTTATTAGAGGTTAAAATTCAAACCTCACAGGAGGCACCATGAAATGACGTACAGGCTATCATACCCTAGGTGGTATGATAGTCGAATTAAAAATCACGAATAATTGATAAAAAACAAACACAAAAAAAAGGGATTAAATAATTCGAACACAGAATTGGATGGGAAAAAGCCGTTACGGCATAAAAAACCCAGATTTATTGATTAGGATATAATGGATCGATTACAACTGCGAATGACACTTGTTTTACATACACATACACACACGCTACCACACTGCAATGTCTGTCCTAAGAACACTACGATGTGAACTGTCGGACGCAGCTATGGACATGTACACACACACACGCGTGTCGATAATGCGAAAGATAGGTTATGGAATCACACGTTGTGTGATTCCGAGACGATATTCGTAATTAAATTACGAAGATATGAGGTGGCCGTTGCACCACCTCCGATACGTTTTTAGATGAAGTGGCCGTTCGCCACTTCAAAAAAAGATGTAGAGGAAGCGGCACGTTGCACCATTTCCAATACGATTGGCGTTGCCGTTCACTACACCGTTAATCTGAATTGATTTTTACAGATTTTGCGAAGTAACTGTTTTGGATGTTAGATTGACACTTTGAATTAATAATAACACTGATTTCACACTGAAGATCGATTAACAAACTTAAGTGCTCGAATAGCGTCGGTTTTGACCGTTACACGTGGTGTAATAGATTAGGTTGGGTTAGCGTCGGTTGGGCGCTTCCCCGCGAGAAACTAGCGAGTCGAGTTTCTATTGTCTGGGATTATGGCAAACCAATTCTCGTTAACTTTATTGATTTCTGATTCCACCAACCTGTTTGCCGCGTCAGCAGAGGTACATACAACCAACACTTTATCAATATCAAGTTTCCTAATCCTTTGTACAAAACTGTTAACTTTGCGTAAATCCCTGGCTATTGCCATCTCATGTAGATTTCCAAGATGTTTATTCCTATCTTTGTCAAAAATGTAAACAGTATAGGGTCCTAAATCTTCATTTTTATATCTGTTATTCTTCATACCTGAGTAGTAATCGAACAAATTGAATTGACTGGGTTCCACAACGTCCATTAAGTCATTTAAATCAGATTTAGATTTTTTGGTGTCAGAAGGATCTAATAAATGCCTTAAAGATCTTTTAGTTGGAGTAATTGGCATGATAATTTAAAGAAATAAACTATTATTCAAATTATAATTTATAGAAGAAAACAAAAAACAAAAAAAAACGAAAAGATGATACAAGAAACAGAACACACCTTTGGAGACTGAAGAAATAGCTGCGACTTCAAAATTTCTATGAAAATTCACGTATAATATGTATCTCTGGTTGGAAAACACAATAGATCGTTGGAGCAATATCAAACACGTGTGGTCGGCTTCACTACTCAGAGTCAACTCCCAAATCGCATTCTTCTGGGCTTAAATTTATGAATACAGACAAACTACTATCTGCCCCCCCCCCTCTTCGAACGAAACGTGCAACCCTAGGGATACACGCGCCTGTCTGCAACCCCCTGTGAAAACCCCATTATCTTGTATTTTTCCCGAAATCGATTGTTAAAAAAATGATAGAAAATCCAAACATGTTTCCGAAGGAATGACTCTTGTAAAAATAAAATTTGTGACCCGTCCCCCTTAACCCCGTAAATTTTCACCCCTCCGGATATATGCGGCTGTCTTCAACCCCCCGGAGAAACCGCATGATCAAGTATTTTCCCCGAAATTCATTTTTTTTTATTTATAAAAAATCAGCGCATGTTTCCGGGGAGGTGAATTTTATAAAAATGTAATCTCAGACCCCTTCCCCTCACCCCCCTCAATTTTCATCTCTCCGGATGTATGCGGCTGTCTTCAACCCCCGGAGAAACCGCATAATCATGTATTTTCCCCGAAATTCATTTTTTTAATTTATAAAAAATCAGCGCATGTTTCCGGGGGGGTAAATTTCATAAAAATGTAATCTCAGACCCCTTCCCCTCACCCCCCTCAATTTTCATCTCTCCGGATGTATGCGCCTGTCTTCAACCCCCCGGAGAAACCGCATAATCATTTATTTTCCCCGAAATTCATTTTTTTAATTTATAAAAAATCAGCGCATGTTTCCAGAGGGGTAAATTTTATAACAATATAAACTCAAACCCCTCCCCCGCACCACCCTAAATTTTCATCCCTCCGTATTTATGCTGATGTCTTCAATTCCCCGGAGAGACCGCATACATGAGACGCATCATGTATTTTCCCCGAAATTAAATTTTTTCAATTTATAAACAATTAGCCCATGTTTCTGGAGAGGCAAATTTTATAACAATGTAGTCTTAAACCCTTCCCCCTCACCCCCTAAATTTTCATCCCTCCGTATAGAGGCGGGTGTCTTCAACCCCCCGGAGAAACCGCATACTCATGTATTTTCCCCGAAATTCATTTTTTTTTAATTTATAAAAAATCTGCGCATGTTTCCGGGGGCGATAAATTTTATAAAAATATAATCTCAAACCCCTCCCCCTCACCCCCCTAAATTTTCATCCCTCCGGATATATGCGGGTGTCTTCAACCCCCCGGAGAAACCGCATACTCATGTATTTTCCCCGAAATTCATTTTTTTTTTAATTTATAAAAAATCAGCGCATGTTTTCGGGGGGGTAAATTTTATAAAAATGTAATCTCATACCCTTTCCCCTTGCCCCCCTCAATTTTTATCCCTCCGGATATATGCGACTGTCTTCAACCCCCCGGAGAAACCCCATACTCATGTATTTTCCCCGAAATTCATTTTTTTTTAATTTATAAAAAATCAGCGCATGTTTCCGGGGGGGTAAATTTCATAAAAATGTAATCTCAGACCCCTTCCCCTCACCCCCCTCAATTTTCATCTCTCCGGATGTATGCGCCTGTCTTCAACCCCCCGGAGAAACCGCATAATCATTTATTTTCCCCGAAATTCATTTTTTTATTTTAATTTATAAAAAATCAGCGCATGTTTCCAGAGGGGTAAATTTTATAACAATGTAGTCTCAAACCCCTCACCCTCACCCCCCTAAATTTTCATCCCTCCGGATATAGGCGGGTGTCTTCAACCCCCCCGCGAAACCGCATACTCATGTATTTTCCCCGAAATTCATTTTTTTTAATTTATAAAAAATCAGCGAATGTTTCCGGGGGGGGGGGAAATTTTATGAAAATGTAATCTCAGACCCCTTCCTCTCACCCCCCTCAATTTTCATCCCTCCGGATATATGCGTCTATTTTCCACAGATAAAAAAACCGAGCGGGTGAATAAATCAATTTATTTATTGAGTTGATTAATTTTTTAATTCGAAAATCAATCCATAAAAAGATAGTTGTTTAGAAAATAATTTTCAATCGTTTTTTCAACATAATTTAAAATATATATATTATTCATATAAATTCTGCCACCCCTCCCCCCCATCAACGGGTGAAAATCTCAACCCTCTCATACCTTCCCCCCACTTCTCACCAAGTTCAAATTTTTTAGATTCGATTCTTTTGTTTATCTAATTATTTGATGACTTCCTTGGCCCCTATTTGACCCTGAGCATTCTCCTCCTCTATATCTATTTGCCATACCATTTTTCACGTAAGGCAATTGGCTGAATACAGAATTAAACTAATTTAAAAAAATGCCAATATGAACCTATTGGATAATCAATTACGTGAGAACGTCCCTTTACCAGTTTTGAAAAGTATTTCTCCCGCCAGTGCTGCTGACTTTATCGGCCTGGGCGAGAAGTCGACACTGCCGCCATCTGGCGGCGTTCCCCCTACTGACTTATTTTCCTTTACAATACGGAAACAGTTATTTTCCTTAATTAATGGAAATTAATGTCATTAAAGGTACTAAAATTCATTAATAATTCATAGATTAACATCCATAATGGTTTCAGTTATCATTTACCCTTTTTTTACACCTATAAACAAGACAGCCCCAATTACCCACCTAACAGCCACCTAACTTAAGTGGCTGCTTGTATCCCAGGGATCTTTTTTATATGATTAAAATAATAAGAAGAAATATAATTATATTA